CTGAGCTCCTGCCCCTCCCTGCCATGGGCTGGATTGTGGCCCCCTCCCCAAACCCTTCGCATCCCCACTAGGGGCCCCTCTTTGGCACGGCAGGAAGCGCTGTCGTAGTCGGCCGAGAGGGGCCTTCTGCTCGGCAGTGGGGGGGGGGCTGGAAGGGGGGGCTCCGGTGCCTGCCCATCACCAGGCTTTCCCTCCAGGTTGCTCCTGGCAGTGGGACGGCAGCCAGCCGCCTGAACAGCCGCAAGGAAGCTGGGCTCTTGGCAGCTGTGGCGCTCGGCCAGAAGATCGTGGTCTACCTGTCGGACAGCACCCTGATGGACATCCTCCCCAGGATCGGCCAGGAGGTCCTGCTCCCCCTTCTGGGCTTCTTCACCTCACCCACCCTCAGGTGCGCCTGGCTGGGAGGGGGCCGAGTGGCCGCGCCCAAAGCACCGCCAGCCTCTTCCTTCAGCACCCGTGTGCAGCACAGGCTCCCCTCGGAGGGGCGGCTGGAAGAGGCACAGACCCCCACCCCCACCCTTAAGCGATGCCTGCGATTCCCATGTGGCAGCCGGGGGGTGGGGCGGGGGGGGGCAGGCTGGGCAGCGCGGTGGGTGCTGAGGGTCTCTTCCCAACAGTTTCCCCAGTGGGGCCCAGGGCCGCGTCGTCTTGTGCCTCAAAACCATCCGGCTGATGGTGCTGGTTTGCTTACGGATCGGACCCGAGATGGCTCAGCAGCACCTGCGCGACGCCCTCCGGGGCTTCTTCCGGAGCTTCTCCTCGCTGCCCTCGGAGTCCGTGAGTCTGCTGTGCCCCCTGGGAGGGTCCCTGATGGGAGGGGCCACGCTCAGTGCCCGCCCTCCAATTTGCCCCTGGGATCCTGCTGGGGCGGGCAAAGGGGCTCCTCCTGGCAGCTGTCCAGATGGCATGGCCGGACGGCGGCTGCTGTGGGAATGAGCCGGGTCCCTTCCGTGCCAGGAAAGTCTCCCACGCGGGGGCTCCAAGAGGAGGCGACGGGCGGGGAGGGCCTTTCCTTCTCCTTCAGCCGCTCTGCAGGCGTGACAAAGCAGGTCCCCTCTTGGCAGGGCCAGCCGCCGTCTCCGGACCCCTCGGCTCTTCTGGAGCTCCAGAAGGTCTTCAGCCCAGAAATGGCCTACGTTGCCTTTGTGCCCTTCTCTTCTCTGCTGGGTGAGAACCCTGCCCCTCCCTCCTCCCCCCTCCCCCTGCCCCTCCCCTGCGCCCTGCAAGAGAGGGAGGGGGGGGAGG